AGGGCGAGCATGTTTGATGTGACGTTTCTAAAGGATACGTTCACTTTGATACAAGTTGTAGGCCTAAGTTTGAATAACGTTTTCACTTTCAACAGAAACATGAAGACTGCGGTAAGTACGCCTAACTTATTTAGTTTTTTAATTAATAAATTAACAAGTAACTCACAGAGTAACTGAATAGCAGAATTTCTTTGCTAACCGATCAATTAACTTAAATTAAAAGACTATAATTTACAAACACTGAATACACTTTAACTAATACCGGTGTGAATAACTTCTCTGAATTCTAATTTTCTACTCAAATGAATACTTCACTTTGACATTGACATTAACTCACTGCTTACTCAAATTTATAACTTATGTACCTGAGTCTAGATGTTAGTCGAAGTTACTAAATTCTTAACTTTATCGTCATCGTTAACTTTCCATGGTATTCTATGACAACTTTTACAAATGTACTCGATGTTAACGTCGAGCGCCCTCTAGCAAACATATAAATTAAAACAATGAAAATATAACTTGCAACAATATGTTGAAATTAGTACACAGATTATACGACTCAGAGCAACATACGATGAAGTGAACTTAATGCTAGATTCAGTGCAAAGTAACATACGTTGGACTTAATACGCAGCCCATATATATAAGATAAATGATTATATGTTGAGCTGAACTTAAGATATGGCAGACCCAAATTTCAAACTGAGGGAAATACTTATATGTATTTAGGTTAAACATAACATTATTTTTTAAATGTTCTGAGCAAGAACTGTTTATATCCACTGGTGTTTATCACGTCTTGTCTGCTTAAGATATCAAAATCTTCCAATAAACCCATTCTTCTAGTTATTTACATCAGAAGTGTCTGAAGCGATACATCCAATATATTATATAGTTACATTGTATCTATCCACACAAATGACCTTCGAGATATAGCTGAATATTTTACTGAAGTTTGCGCATTAGATACAGAATATTCTATTCTACTGAAGTGAGATGAGACAGTCTTCAGTACAGTAAAAATATAAAATGTAGGTGGAATTGTATTTAACACCTAGCCCAATCGTAACAGTGTACATACATGTAAAAACGTTCGAAAATATTCAATACAACAGTATATTTTGAATAATTCGCATTATTAGCTGATTCAGTACTGAGCACTAATGATGAGTATGTTGAATTGCTATATATACGCTGTAACTTATAAGATCAGACAATCTTTAGAAGAGTATCAATGTTAAATTATACTTAACACAGAGCTAATACTATATACTGTACTTTTGTAAGATCAGACAATCTTTAGAAGAGTATCAATGTTAAACTGTACTTAACACAGAGCTAATACTATATACTGTACTTTTGTAAAATCAGACAATCTTTATAAGAGTATCAATGTTAAATTGTACTTAACACAGAGCTAATACTATATAATGTACTTTTGTAAGATCAGACAATCTTTAGAAGAGTATCAATGTTAAATTATACTTAACACAGAGCTAATACTATATAATGTACTTTTGTAAGATCAGACAATCTTTAGAAGAGTATCAGTGTTAAATTGTACTTAACACAGAGCTAATACTATATACTGTACTCGTGCAAGATGAGACAATCTTCAGAAGACAACAATGTTAAATTGTACTTAACACAGAGTCAATACTATATACTGTACTCGTGTAAGATCAGACAATCTTTTAATTTAACATTGATACTCTTCTATACTTAACACAGAGCTAATACTATATAATGTACTTTTGTAAGATCAGACAATCTTTAGAAGAGTATCAATGTTAAATTATACTTAACACAGAGCTAATACTATATACTGTACTTTTGTAAGATCAGACAATCTTTAGAAGAGTATCAATGTTAAATTGTACTTAACACAGAGTCAATACTATATACTGTACTCGTGTAAGATCAGACAATCTTTAGAAGAGTATCAATGTTAAATTGTCCTAAACTTAAAGCCAATGCTATAAACTGTGCTCATGTAAGAACAGAAATCTTCAGAAGAGCAACAATGTCAAATATAAAGTTTGTACAGTGAGTGTTGCTAGGTTGGATAAAAAAATAAGCTCAACCTATTTCGGAGGTGGGTGGGATTACAAGCGTATATGTACATTTTATTGTATTTAAGACATTTCCATAACTTCACACACATAGCAAAAGTTAAACTCCAGCATTACCATAAAACAATGTATAGAGCAGTTATTATATAATTCGTAATTAAAGTTCAATGTGAGAAAAACCAGGAACTCCACTGGAGATTTAATTTGCGATAAGGAAGTTCTTAAAAATGTCCAAAGACTGATATGCCACTGTTCTTGGACGTTTGTAGAATGAAATTGTAATAATACGTGATTTAACAATGAACTTTCTGTAGGTTTACTTTATTACGTGGTTCTTCTTCTTAAGGGGTAATTTTTCCAACTTTTTCTCCACAACTGCATAGCATTCTTGATGTGAATAGCATATCTGAACTATTTTAATATATCCATGTATATATATATATATATAAGAGAGAGAGAGAGAGAGAGAAAACGTGAGAACAGTAGAAAATATATGATTGGTTTAATGTTAGTTAAAATGAAAACGATTAGTATTGTTACGACAGCGGAAGTCACGTGACGCTAGTAACACGTCATGATATTCTAGAAGGATCATGTCTGTTCTGGCAACTCTGGTATTTTCTTCACGCCCTCTATTCTTGTATATAAGTGCACTAGATAAAGCGAAATGAATTAATCAGAAAATAATTGCAGACAGACAGAGACGGACAATTGAGTCAAGCGCGGTAGTGACCGTAAGTAAAGTGCGTGAATCTTTGTGAATTATAGCGTGTGTCGAAGTTAAAGTGACTGTGGAAATTAAGTGTATTGCAAAGTTGAGTTGAGAAAGAATAAACTAGTTTTATTTAAGAAAGGACTTGTATCGCTGAAGTTCATCGGAAAGAATTTCTACGGAAAATTAACAAACGAACACAGAGACGTAACAGTATTTAGTTTCTAAAGGGAAGGGTTATATTCTAAAAGGAGCACGCAAAAAAGTAACCAATTTGAAAACAAGCCCTAGCAACTCCATCCATGGTATTAAAACAATTCAGGCGACTCTGAAGAAAAACAAAACAAAAAGAAGCCCAAGTCCTCTTATAACACACAAACTTCGCAACATTAGATATATTGCATTGTTCTCACGCACGATTAAACAATAATCACCAGGACAACAAACACTGAACTGTACTTAACCATAAAGCTGATACAATCCAGTGTGTTCATGTAAGATCAAGTAAAACTTTAAACAGTACAATACACGTTAAGTTTATTATCCTGTGGTAAACACGAAAGTGAATGTTATAATCTACTACATTGTGTACTAACTATAAAATTATCCAAACTGTTTAATAACATAGATATAGATTGGCGTGAATTAAAAGTGTTTTTAATTTGCGTATCTATTTGAGCTTTGTGTGTTATTTATTTATTATTTTATATAATAATATGTCTAACGTATTTAATTAAAACAGTTTTGTTTTATTCAAAGATAAAGTAATTATCTAATCTATACAAAACAGTAATTAAACGTACTGGAGTGTCATAGCAGTTTGTATAAACAAAGCCTAGTAGTATTTGTGAGAAATGATGGACACATGGTAAGCAGTATCATTACGTCATGAGGCGTCCTGGAAACAGAGAAAACAAACCGAGTGCAGCGGCTTATGCCAGAGTGAATATAGTGGTCGTTCGTTATGCTAGGTTTTCAGTACGGAATATGAGGCGAACACAGTTTTGCTATCCTTAAGCCAGGCACGTAATAACGGCCTTGCAAACTGTAAAGATATCGCGGTGGAAGAAAACAAACTTTATAATTTGAATAGTAAATCATTATGTTTAGGCCTAACTTATGTAAAATCAAAATTGGTGTTTTAAACAGTGTTTCACAACAGATTTTTGCGGTTTTTTTCTTAATGTTAATAAAATGGACATGGTCGTTTAATGTAGATTTAGAAACAGTGTTGATTCATCAAGCACAACCGAAATCCCACTTTGGATTTTCTGTAAGTTTACACAGGACTCAAGGTAAAAGTTGGTAAGTGTTCACTTTCAGTTCTATTCATTTTACAAATAAATTTAGAGTGCTGAACGCTGAAAAGATTAAATATTAAAAAAAAATCAGTCTGAAAATGTTTTAATCAAGGGAAGGAAATGTTGATTTAAGCAAAGAGCACTAATAGAACACATTTATAAAATTTCATTAGTACAGTTTAAACTATACTTTATATTTATAATATACAAGCATAAAGCAATGAAGCATGTACTCTAAGTTGCCAAGGGTTTTGTTATTTCTTTCTTTGGCTAGCAGCTCAAAGTATTTTATTCCGCATATTGAAATGCCATTTACTTCAAAACTTATTTTGTTTGTAGCTGAATAATTTGTAGTGTGAAACATTCTAACGTATATAATACAGGAAACTTTACACCCTAACCTTAACTATTTAATCTTAAAAACAATACACTGTTTTTACAGACGCTTATACTTCTAATCAGTTGAACTACTAAGAGTTGTTGATGTATATATACTTGAGCTTCTGGGATGTAGTTGATTACATAGAATGACTTGTAAACTTTCTAAGTGCACATGTAAAGAAAATAGACCTGCAGGCCTTGTACTTTTGTATTCTATCAGCCAACACTTTTCCGCTCTATCTCCTAAGCCATGTTAGAGGTTGCTGTACCCTGACCCCCACTATCATATTCTTCCTTTTAAAACTGTTCTAACGACATTAGTGCGACACCCCAAAGACCGCGAAATAGGGTCTGGCTCTATTTGAAACAGACGAGAATACACGATGTCTGGTTTCCTCCCTCTGTGAGAACTACAGAAATGGTTCTAACAGACTTTTTTTTTGTTTGTTTGTTTCATAAAGCAGTTAGTTATACTGATCACTGACAGGGAAGAGTGAAAACAATCTTGCTAGTGAAACTATATTACTAACCAAAATTTTAGAAATAACTCAAACTTATTTGTAAACCACCCCGAATTTAACCACATTGTTTATTTAAAAAAAAAAAAATCCATAAAATTTATGGGAAAAGTTCCTACAACACATGCAAACTCGATATATTAACGAAAAATATTTTTTTAAATTGTGGATCATATTCCTTTTTTTTTATGAGTTTTCTTAAAATATTTTCGTTAAAATACGGAAAGTTGTAAAACTGTTCCTAAAACTTTGCTGTAGGAAAATTTCCGGTATAATTTACGGATGTTTTTAACAGTGCAGCTGTGGGCAATAAATATTTAAGTTTTTAATAAATATTTATTGAAAAATGGTTTGTGATTACCATACATAGGTGAACATTTTTTATTCTCCTTTCTTTCCAGATGTGATACTTGTCTTGCGTATATGAGGTTAATCAATTGTTTATCTCTACCAGGTTGCTGATTGGAGCACCAACCGCCCAGACGTCTCAACCTGGAGTGACGAGAGGGGGAGCTGTTTACAAGTGTGACACTGATAGGGCCAATTATTGTGAACAGATTTTATTTGATAAGTCAGGTAAGCCTACCGGCGTTCTTTATGAAGATATGAAACCAGATAAAATTTATAAATACTTCCCGTCCTGAGTTAATTTACTCTTTGCATTCATATCAGTGCCTAGTATATATGTATATATATATAAATGACATTTTAGATATAGTGACAACAGATTAGTTTAATTTTATTCAACAAATAATTTAATTGTGCGCGCGCGCGTGTGTGTAGCTAATCAATTTGTTTTTGTCGTTGTAATATTTAAAACATCGAACCACTTTATCAACATTGGTGGGAACATACTCTTTATTTCGACATGACATATGTGTTCAACAATAACAAAAAAATCACAAGACTTCCTCGTATCTAGAACTAATTAGTTCAGTACGACTTATTCATTCATTATTGTGACAAATAATTGAACTTGTGGTTTGGAATTATTTATAATTCTATAACTACAGAGGTTGAGTACGTTATATTATATCGATTTGGAGCCTCACCATATCGTTATGTCTATGTGACAGCGTCCGGTCATGCTCTGTCTGACAACTGTGCATATTGACAACAGCCTTGCAGCGTAGTTTGCATTTTAAAAGACTCCATTATAAGGTTGTCATGTAAAAAGTAAAAAACTTATCTTTGCGTGATTTCCATAAGCCACGTATTGTACGAGGACGACAGTTTCCTAACCATTTTCAGCACTCAGATCACATTGAAATCCATAACCTACTTGTCAACTTTGTCTTCCTACGGATTATCATGAATCTCCATCCGTTTTAATCTTCGACTGCTTGAGGTATGCGACAGTTGAACGGATATGTTATGTTTTGTACAGGTGACATTTCCAGATGGAGACCATTCTTGATAATTTTGCGAACTCTTGCCTGAAGCATGTGAATGGTTTTTGCTACTAACCTTTGGATTCACACGACATCGTACGTTGCTCCCATGGCAGTGATACGACTTGTTGTGTGTCTTTTTATGTATGGTCTTAATTCCCCAGTTGATCCACATTCCATTGTTTTCCAATGATATTAAATATAAGAGATATTACCGTCTTGGAAATTCTAAATCACCGATTTGAATAGATCTTTATGATATGAGTGTATGAATATTTTGTGTTGGAGAGGACTGTTATGTACTTTTCCCAAAAGTAATTTATTTTCGGTGTCATCACACTATTCATAAGCACCAAACAATGTGAAAAGGTAGTTCTGGTACATGCCATTCTCACTGCAAATGTATGTCAGCTGTGGTTGTCATATGACCAGTTAATTACTATATTCAACCTCGTTTTAATATAACGTACTCAACTCTTTAGCCCCCTTCGCCCTACCCGGTGGCTCAGCGGAGAGTCTGTAGGCTTCCGACGCTAAAGATTAGGTTTCTATACCTCCCTACTAGCACCAGCCGCCTTGAGTGAATATTGAGTATGTGTATTTTCCAGAAAATGTTGTGTTTTACACTATCGAGGTCGCTATCACCAGTTAGTTTAATTTGGTAAAGATGCCAGAAGTAATTCGATTTCTAACATGTTTTTAACGCACATTCTTGTAGATTATCTTTAAGTAAACTAAGGCTCTCTCAACATTTCTTTCAGTTTTTATAAATGTGTTATTCGTTATTTTACTTTGATTTTACAAAATGTTTAACTCCTAATTTTTAAGCAACATGTGTATCAAGAGAAAAGTTTGTTTTTCCCGTAAGAATGAATATCTTAACGTCTATAAGTATTTATTCAACAAAACTATTATAAATTGGCAATGAATTGATAATAGATCATTCTATTATTTACTGACTTTACATATTCGAATTTTGTCTTGCTTAAAAAAAAAGTTCTTTGTGTTACGAAACCCAGGTTCCGTTGAAAAACTCCATGGTAATACAAATGAATATTTAGAGAACAAAACAAATCAGTGGTTCGGTGCTACACTGTACAGTGCTGGGGAGAATGGCCCAATTGTGGTAAGTCCTAATGCCAACAACTATTTTCAAATATTTTATAAAGATAGCTCTAGTAGTAAGTCCCATGAGCCTAATATTACTTTCGAAACCTATAAACTATACAATAACAATAATGGTAGATTATGATTAATCACACAGGCGTGTGAAAAATACGCGCATTTTTGCGGATGCCAATCTTTATTATTTACCAGCAATTTTATTTTTGTATAGCATCTGTATTTTTGATGCTATTGATAGTAAAAAAAAAAGAGAGAGAGAGAGAGAAACGAACATATATATATACGACCGTTATATATAGTCGTTCTTGAAGTTTTTAGTTTAATTCATTAAATCGATTCCTATTGGATGAAAATAATTTAATGCGGGATTGGTCTATATTTATCAGGTCCCAAAAACCGGGCCAGTTTTTCATGGATTTTCCCGTGTCTCACTGACATGCCTGATTAAACTCTTACTTAAAACATTTAGTCCAGATCATTTCGGCTTCAGTTATGAAATGTTTTCAGATAAAATGTCGTGAAAGTTGTAGCATTAAGTAAAGAACGTGAAGTCAGGGCAAAAATGTTTGATGTTGAATTAACAATGATTTTGTATACAGAGTTACAACATTTCAGAGGTACTCTCGCTTCTCTTCAATTCACTCGTCTTTAATACAACAATCTGTTTTTCACACAGGTTCTATAACACAGAATCCTATTATGCACAATGTTAATGAAACCCACAGTAACATAACAAGGCTACTGAAAGTATCATTCCCACAGCAACATGATAAGGTTACTGAAAGTGTGAATGAGCCAAAGTACTCATATCCACAGTAACATAACAATGTTACTGAAAATATCATACCTACAATAACATAACAATGTTACTGAAAGTGCCATACTAACAGTAACATAACAATGTTACTGAAAGTACCATACCAACAGTAACATAACAATGTTACTGAAAGTATGAATGAGCCAAAGTATCCATACCCACAGTAACATAACAATGTTACTGAAAATACCATACCAACAACAACATAACAATGTTACTGAAAGTGCCATACTAACAGTAACATAACAATGCTACTGAAAGTACCATACCAACAGTAACATAACAAGGTTACTGAAAGTATGAATGAGCTAAAGTATCCATACCCACAGTAACATAACAATGTTACTGAAAATACCATACCAACAACAACATAACAATGTTACTGAAAGTGCCATACTAACAGTAACATAACAATGCTACTGAAAGTACCATACCAACAGTAACATAACAAGGTTACTGAAAGTATGAATGAGCCAAAGTATCCATACCCACAGTAACTTAATGTGCTAGTATGTTTATTACCTCAGAGGAAAATGAAAATAGATTACGGTTGTGAAAGATGTGCCTAGTAACTTTCCAGAGAGATATATCTTGTAAACTTTCCAGAGAGATATATCTAGTAAACTTTCGAGAGAGATATATTTAGTGAACTTTCCAGAGATATATATCTAGTAAACTTTCCAGAGAGATATATCTTGTAAACTTTCCAGAGAGATATATCTAGTAAACTTTCCAGAGAGATATATCTAGCAAACTTTCCAGTTGAAATCTAATAAGACTGGGTAACTCCTTAATTTTTACCATGGTAGTGTAAAATATATATATAGGATTGATAGAAAAAGTAAACAGCTTTAAACTGAATTTTTCCATATTACAGTCATACAGTTCATGATAAAGTGGAGTATGTTGTTACCATATATCCAGTAAATTTTACTCAGTATCTTCTGTTCTCTACGATATCTTTACATGTTCGGCGAAATTTTTTTCAAAATTGGCAAATGTTATCAATTCATAACTAAACGGACATTCATTTGGAGATAGAATGTAATATTGCATCCTTAGTCTTAATATTCCACTGATATTCAGCGATTATATTTCAAAGTTGTCTGGTGTAATTTATCTTTATTATTGTTTTGAAGGTATCTGGTGCAATTTATCTCCGTTGTTGTTTTGAATATATCTCATGCAATTTATCTCCGTTGTTGTTTCGAATATATCTTATGCAATTTATCTCCATTGCTGTTTGGAATATATCTGATGCAATTTATCTCCGTTGTTGTTTCGAATACGTCTAGTGCAATTTATCTCCGTTGTTGTTTTGAATATATCTCATGCAATTTATCTCCGTTGTTGTTTCGAATATATCATATGCAATTTATCTCCATTGCTGTTTGGAATATATCTGATGCAATTTATCTCCGTTGTTGTTTCGAATACGTCTAGTACAATTTATCTCCATTGCTGTTTCGAATATATCTGATGCAATTTATCTCTGTTGTTGTTTCAAAAGTATCTGTTACCATTTATCTCCACTGTTGTTTCGAAAGCCCGATAAGTTGATCAGAATTGAAAGACTGTGAATTAGCTATTAGAACTAACCCACCACCCAAATGGCTTTACAAATTATTTAAAATGCTAAGTTAAGACGTGGCTTCTAAATATGCCATTAAAAACGTTAACACTATTAATTGAATCTAGCATGGACCGTATATGCTTTTCTGGTAGAGTGTAGAATCGTGTTGGAGCAACATATTTGCTTGCTCACGCAAAATCTCCTCAATGATGTCTATGAGCATTTGAACTCCACAGGTAGATCCTTGTTTGAAGAGCAAAATTCAATCTATACTGCAACATCCCCATCATATCTGGGTCTGACATGGCCTGATAGTTAGGATGTTCGATTCGCAATATGCTGCCGCGGGTTCGAAACTCTGTCACCGAGCATGTTCGCTCTTTGAGTTGTGGGGGTGTTATAACATGACAGTCAATACCACTATTCGTTGGTAAAAGAGTAGTCTATAAGTTGGCGGTGGTGTTGACTAGCTGCCTTCCATCTAGTCTATCACTGCTAAATTGTAGACGGTTAGCGCAGATAATACACGAGTAGCTTTGGGACAAATTCAAAAACACACAAACCGTCACCCCTCTGGTGGCTCAGCGGTAAGTCTGAGGGCTTATAATGCTAAAAATCGGTTTTTCGCCACTAGCAGTGGGGAATATACAGATAGCCCATTGTGTAGCTTTGTTCTTAAAACAAAAACCAAACCTCTCCATCATAATATTCAGGGGTGGATTGGCATTAAAGAACCAACCTGAGGGATATCACTAATATTTTTCCCAGGCTACATTCTGGCTAAACAATGCGTCAAATGCACCGGTCCACCGGGCACTTGCCAAGTATCCAGGTGGACCAATTCGTGATAATCCTTCACAGATGTCACAATACAATCACTGTCGTATTCTCTACCTGTCTGACTTCACCTACAAATTCAATCCTCACTTCGAAATTGGCTAATGTGGGCATCATATATTTATAAAATCCGCAAAAATCCTTAATATTTATGTATTGAAGACCTATACAATAATCAAAGGTGTGTCGAACGTTCTTGTGAGAGTGTTAATTGATTTGCATAAATAAAAAACGCACACAAAGGCTCCACAAGTGGTACCAAAGAACACACACAAAGACTTCACAGGTGGTACCAAAGAGCACACACAAAGACTCCACAGATGATACCAAAGAGCACACACAAAGGCTTCACAAGTGCTACGAAAGAGCACACACAGACTTCACAGGTAATACAAAGAGCACACACACAAAGACTCGACAGATGGTACCCGTTATATATCAATCACTGTGAATTTGTTTTAAATATCATTATCAGCATCTTGCAAAATCCTAGGAGGTAAATGTACGTCACTTGGGAAGGCACTTTCAGTCAACATAGACATTTTTTTAAAGTTGTACTGTCATATTTATATTTAAAGCTTTCCACTTTTTGTGTTCAATATTGTACAGATCTACACTTAAATTACAAACACTTTGTCTTTCATTTGACCATCTTAAGTGCCGGTGAATAGTATATGTGTGTGTGTGGTGTCACTTGCTAATCAAGTAATCAGAATTTCCAGTTTGAAATAGATAGAGATAACTAAAAGTTTAAGGAAACACAATTTATTTGTTTTAAAAAGATATAAAGAGAATTAAAACATCTTTATTATGCAAATAAATGAAACAAAATACTCCACTAGTATACTGTGCACGAGGATTTTGTTTGCAGATTATCCATCGTATACCGTTTTAATTGTTATCAGTTCACAGAGTAGTACTTGATTCGTTAAGACAGTTTCCACTCATTCTTTGTGCCTCTTCGTTACTAGGTTTTGTTTGTTTGTAGTTGAGCACAAAGCTACACAATGGGCTATCTGTCCTCTTCCCACCATGGATATCGAAATCCGACATGTCGCTGTGCCACTGAAAGGCCGTTACAAGGCAGTTTTTAATACTTAACTTTTTTTTATGGTTTAAACACTGCTTAAATGAAATGCATAATCTCTACGTAAGTGATCTGTAATATCTCATGTACAGTTTGTAGTAAATCGTAAAATAATATACTTTATCATAATAATTATTGATTTAAGTACAGTGTAAGATTTGTTCTTGAGCCTGTTGAAAACAAAGTTAGGGGAATCAATAGGTGTTTATTAATATTTTGTTAAATCTTTGTAAATGTACTTTCGAAAGTTTATTTTTTTTTGTTGTGAAATAGGAAAAAATGTGGGTTCGACATTTCCGTGAAATGAAATAATATAATGGGTTATTGAGCTTCTGGGTAGTGGCCTTTATACTAACACAATTTAACAACAACACATCTATTTTAGAATAGTACTTTACATTCCTCATGGAGTTTCTTGTTTCAAATTTTGAAACCAAAACAATATTACTATGGCTCATATAAGCATAGGATTGCTTTCTTAATACTGACATTATCACTTGCATATAGCATTTAAATCTATATATCTAATATGAAACAGGTTTAGAATTAAACCAGAATGTTACTATTGCACATAAAACATTAATATCCACATATTTTTTCTAACACGTCATTAGGATGTTATTTCATTTAGATGTAAGTTATTAGGACGTTAGTTATGTTAGATATAAGTTATTATGATGTAATTCTTTTATATATAAGTTGTTAGGTTGTTAATTTTGTTGCATATAAGTTATTAGGATACTAGTTTTTTTAGGTGTAAGTTATTAGGGTAGTAAGTGCGTAGGAAATATATGATTAGAATTTCAATTTTAGGTTTGCTGATGAATCAACGACATTATTCTCCGGATAGGAAACTAATGTGTATTTGCTTACGAATCTATTAATTTTTTGTTTTTTAACATCTGCTAGTCCATGATGTACATTATTATAAATACTCGCATACATTACAAATACACATTTGTAATAAAGTTTTCATCACCCAGTCAAGCCGTCTCCAAACTTTTATAAACGAACATGCCGGTAACTGGGAGGATAAAATTTTAGTTATTTAAGTCGTAGTTTTCTAGTGCATTTATTTATAACATTAGGTAGTTTTAGTTAGTTTGCTATACAGGAATAGCTCTTCCAATGTTTTTAGTCACTTTAAAATAACCTACTTTTTTATCAGCAATTCTTAATACTAATAAGTACGTTGGGCCCCCCAGTGGTACAGCGGTATGTCTGCGGACTTACAACGCTAGAATCCGGGTTTCGATACCCGTGGTGGGCAGAGCACAGATAGCCCATTGTGTAGCTTTGTGCTTAATTACAAACAAACAAACAAAATAAGTACGTTGGAGTTCTAGATTGAAAATAAATGACAGACTTCGTAAAATAACTTACTACTCTGTTAGTTTACGAAATACCGTATTATAATGTTAGGCTTCCTAAAAGTAAAATTATATATATGTAATTTGGTATTAGGTTCGATTTGCTAAAATCAGATCGTAGTGTGTTGAGTTTGCTTTAAGTATGCAGTAGTTAGATTTACAAACACGATTTCTTAGGGTGTTAAGGTATGCTACAAATACAGTATATGGTTGGGTTTGAGTGTTGTATTTGCTAAAAATATAGTTTTAAGTTAAAGTTGTTAGAAGTATTTCAAAGAATATTATAATTACTATAAAGATCTCATTATGGTAGCTTTGCTAAGTTGTGTCATTGGGACGTTAAGTTGGTCATAAATACGATATTTGGTTAAATTTATAATATAAGTCATTAGGGTGTTAGTTTTCTTTAATATGAGTGATTAGATTAAATGTGCTTTGATAAGACACTAAAATGTAATATTTGTTGGTAAGAGTTGTGAAACTGGATTTTTAAATAAAGTAATTAAGATGTACCATTTGATAGCTACATATCATTATCTTCGATTCGTTAAAAAAAAACACATTAGAGTGTTATGTTTCTGTTTGTTAAAATAAGTCATTCGTCTGCCAAGTCTGTTAGAAATACGTCATTAGGGTGCTAATGTATTATTAGAAATACATGGTTAGGTTGCTAATATTGTTAGAAATGCGTCATTAGGGTGCTAATATTGGTAGAAATACGTGGTTAAACTGCTAGTATTATTAGAAATACTTCATTAGGGTGCTAAATGGTTTGAAATACGTGGTTAAACTGTTAGTATTATTAGAAATACTTCATTAGGGTGCTAAATGGTTTGAAATACATGGTTAGGTTGCTAATATTGTTAGAAATGCGTCATTAGGGTGCTAATATTGGTAGAAATACGTGGTTAAACTGCTAGTATTATTAGAAATACTTCATTAGGGTGCTAAATGGTTTGAAATACGTGGTTAGGTTGCTAGTATCGTTAAAAATACGTGTTTACGTTCGATTTATAAATGAACCTGGTGGGTATTTTAAAAATAGATCACTAGGTTGGATTTTTAAAAGTATTTTCATTCGTGTAAAATTCGTTAAAATATCAGTTATAATCACGTAAAGTATTATATTCACGTTTTTTTATAGTAGAATCTGAATGTAGAGATACTTTTTATGAGCCAATTAAAATATGAATGTCGTCCTTCAAAGTTTTCATTCATTGAATGAATATTCTGTGTTTGAGTTAGTAACTCAAGCTAGTTTTGATCACTACTATATTGTCACAGGCTTGTGCACCACGTTATGCGTTGTCCTCCAGTGAGTTCAGAAGGCGTAGCCCTGTTGGTACGTGCTGGAAAGCACGAGGTTCCTTCTCAGGGTTTGAAGAGTATTCTCCTTGCAGGAACAGTAAGTAGAAAAAAAAAAGTTTCCTTAACTTTTGAAAGAAGTGTTTATTAGTTAACTTTATCAATTACATTTTCGTTTGTTAAAAGTTTGTGCTTTTCTTAGGTTAATTTTTTTGTAAAATTTAAAATTCGCTGTGTTTTCAAGGTATACTTCTTACTAGTTTAGATATGATTTTTTAATACGTTTTCTAATAGATTTGATTATTTTGTAATC